AACAATCCAATTAAACAGTGCAGGGGAGATAACTCCAATTTAGCTTGTGAAATGAACATTTTCAACTTTGCTTTAATCATTTTCTGTTTATGTTTTAGATATTAATAATTAAATAAATCATGTATATTTATTGAAAACCCATCCTACATAAAATCCAAGGGATACAGGCCCAAAAGTCCTTGTGTATAAACACATTGGCCATCCACCCACTGGATATATAGGATAAGTTACTAAGAAATAAACATTTTGAGATTACATATCAAGTCTATTAGTTTGACAAATGTAGTCAGATATACTTTTTAAAATGGATATGTTAATATCAGCGCTGCATATTGAGCATTCCTTTAATAGAGTTTTTAGATTAAAATGATCATGATTACCAGTTATACAAAATTGAGAAATTTTTATTACTAATTGCATTCTAAAGTTGTTATAGAGTGGGCATTCAAATATAAAATGAAATGCATTTTTAGGTCACCTTTGCTATCCGTCTTCGTCCGTCGTCGTTCGTTAACATTTTACATTTTCAACTAAAGCTGAAATACTGGCAAAGGGATTTCATTAATATTTCATGGGAAGGTTAATGACATCTCCCTGACCAAGTGTTGGTATTTTTCGGGTCGATCAGAAATCCAATATGGCCGCCACGGCTGCCATTTGAAAAACTATTTCAAACTTAAAGTCAAGTTCTGCTGGGCCGATTGAACTGAAACTATGTAGGAATGATCAACTCATGGTCCTGACAAAGTCAGGGTTTTTTTCAGGTCGATCAGAAATTCAATATGGCTGCCACGGCCGCCATTTTGAAAAAAGTATTTCAAACTTAAAAACAAGTTCTAATAGGCCGATTTAACTGAAACTCGGTCTAGGAATGATCAGCTCATGGTCCTGACAAACTTAAGTTAACGTTATACTGGACTATTTTGTACTCAAATTGGTTCATATTTCAACAACAAAAATAAATACTGTAGGACTTGGGTGACCGTTTAGGCCCATGGGCCTCTTGTCATTTTCATGTCCACATCTACATGCTGGTGTGTCATTCAGATGATCCATAAATAAGTCACCATTTAGGTTGCTTGCATGATTTCTCAGCTGACAAATTATGATATTGAATTTTCTTGGCCCATAGTATTTAAATATGCTAGCAATTTCTTCAGTGTTGTTCATATTATCAGACTTGATGAATTTTTAGCCCACCATCATCTGATGGTGGGCTATTCAAATCACCCTGTGTCCGTGGTCCATGGTCCGTGGTCCGCCTTCCGCCGTCCGCTGTCCGCCGTCCGCCCTCCGCCCTCATGCAGCCATCTTGTATTTTGATAGTGAAAGTTTGTTATCGCTATTTCTCAAGAAGTACCAGAGGGATATTTCTTAAATTTAAAATATAGGCTCCCCTTGGTCCTGAGCTTTGCAGGGAAACTTTTGAGACTGATTGGATAAACAACATGGCCGACAGGCAGCCATCTTGGATTTTGATATTGAAAGTTTGTTATCGTTATTTCTGAAGAAGCACCAGAGGGATCTTTCTCAAATGTTATATGTAGGTTCTCCTTGGTCCATAGCTGTGCAGGGCAACTTTTGAGACTGATCGGAATAACAACATGGCCGACAGGCAGCCGTCTTGGATTTTGATAGTGAAAGTTTGTTATCGCTATTTCTAAAGAAGTACCAGAGGGATCTTTTTTAAATTTTATATGTAGGTTTCCCTTGGTCCTTAGCTGTACAGGGCAACTTTTGAGACTGATCGGATAAACAACATGGCCGACAGACAGCCATCTTGGATTTTGATAGTGTAGGTTTGTTACCGCTTTTTCTCACTAAGAACTAGAGGGATCTTTCTTAAATTTTATATGTACATGTAGGTTCCCCTTGGTCCTAGCTGTGCAGGGTACTTTTAGAGACTGATCAAATAAACAACATGGCCGACAGGCAGCCATCTTGGCTTTTGATAGTGAAAGTTTGTTATCGCTATTTCTCAAGAAGTACCAGAGGGATCTTTCTCAAATTTTATATATAGGTTCCCCTTGGTCCTAAGCTGTGCAGGGCAACTTTTGAGACTGATCGGATAAACAACATGGCCGACAGGCAGTCATCTTGGATTTTGATAGTGATAGTTTGTTCTCACTATTTCTCAAGAAGAACCAGAGGGATCTTTGTCAAATTTAATATGTAGGTTCCCCTTGGTCCTTAGCTGTGCAGGGCAACTTTTGAGACTGATCGGATAAACAACATGGCCGATAGGCAGCCATCTTGGATTTTGATAGTGATAGTTTGTTCTCACTATTTCTCAAGAAGAACCAGAGGGATCTTTGTCAAATTTTATATGTAGGTTCCCCTTGGTCCTTAGCTGTGCAGGGCAACTTTTGAGACTGATCGGATAAACAACATGGCCGATAGGCAGCCATCTTGGATTTTGATAGTGAAAGTTTGTTATCGCTATTTTTCCGGAAGTACTTGAGGGATCTTTTTAAAATTGTATGTGTAGGTTCCCCTTGGTTATTATCTGTGCAGGGCAACTTTTGAGACTGATCGGATAAACAACATGGCCGACAGGCAGCCATCTTGGATTTTGATAGTGAAAGTTTGTTATCGCTATTTCTCGGGAAGTACGGGAGGGATCTTTCTCAAATTTTAAATGTAGGTTCCCCTTGATCCCTCGTTGTGTATGTTATATTTTGAGACTGATCATAAAAACAAAATGGATTAAAAGAAGAACTAAACAGATCTTTCTCATATTGCAATGATCGATTCTATTTCTTTCACATTAAGTACTGTACTAGTAAATATGTGAAATGACAAACTCACTTTGAAGGTTGGCTTTCATACACATCAGTATTAAGTTTAGATCAAAAGTTACCTCAAGGTGCATTTACTGTTAACATGACTCGATCAAGCAGATTAGAGGAAAGAAGAGAAAAGATTGAACTGACAAAGAACTAATGAAGATGGTACAAAGGTGGTGAACTAACATGAGAAGAAGAAAAAAGGAAAAAAGGAAAATAAAAGTGATACAAAAACAAAGAAATTGAAAGTAAAATTAAGGCCAAACTGAAACAAAATATGCATTTGTATTTATTTGGCCTAATGACGTAAACAAAATCAAACCACACAAAATTAGACAATTTTTACATTGATCCCCAGAACGAAAGTGGATGGTACAGTACTGTACAAAATAATAAAGTTGAAAGAAACAGTCAAATCAAAAATAAGGAAACATTCAGAAATAAATCATGTTTCAGTCTCATGCACGTACCTGTCTTGGTGCACTTTGAAGGAATAAAAAAGGCACTGATGGCTTGTTGACGTTTGGCCATGTTCAATAGTCAATGTCAGTCCCTTCTAATCAAACAATGTGAAGAATGTGTTTACGGTCAGTCACTATCTCTTGAACACTTTGCAATATGGTGTTGCGAACATGCGAATCAACCATTACAATGACAGTGATGTAACGTTACGTAAATGATTCACTCTATTGATACGATAATTTACTCGACATAAGTGAATACACGTTGAAACCTTGTGCAGCACAACTGACTCGTCGCTGCATAGGTTTCTCAGACACCAGATAAGTTTGACCCAACCGATTGAAATAAAATTTGCATTGAGTTTAATTTTACATTCTTGGCCATATTTTAGTCGCCCAAATTATCATAGTAGCCGGGGGTCAAATTGGCCGGCCGCCGGCTCTTGTGGAAAACGCTGACTGAATCTTGGCCAGTAAGTACGGTGATATAAAGTTTCCTCAAATAAATGACCTTTACCTACTTTCAAGATCACAGGGGTCAAATATGTAAAAAAAAAAAAAAAAAAAAAAAACAGAATAACCAGAAGGCCCAGATTACTGATACTTGGCCAGTAGGTACCTTGGACAGAGTGTTAAAAAGTTTTCTCAAATAAATAACACTTTCAAGGTCACAAGGGCAAACAAGTGTTATTTTTTTTTAAACATCTCCTGGGTAACCGAGAGGCCTAGAGCAATAAAATTTGGCAAGTAGGTACCTGGATCAGAGTGTTATAATCTTCAAAAAAATGACCTTGACCTTCTTTCAAGGTCACAGGGGTAAAATATGTTAGAGCCTTTAAATAACTTCTTCTAAATATCTAGGAGGCCCTGGGTGATGATATTTGACCAGTACCATGCTGGGATAGAGTAATATAAAGTTTCACTTAGTCTGGAACATTCTTAAGCCTAGGAGACTCAAAATATGGAAACGTTTGCAAAAGTACTTTTATTGAGAACATTTTCCTATGATTGCACAAATACTCAGGTGAGTGATACAGGCCCTCTGGGCCTCTTGTTTTAAAACTTATTCTTTGGTTGATTTAACGAGAAATAGTTCCATTCTATCAGTAGTGACAAATTATTTCATAGCGATGAAAATATGTTCTTTAAACTGATATCAATGATTGTTTCAATAGGTTTAGCCTTGCAGTACTTTCAGTACTTTGACTGGGGAAATGATACCTTTTATAAGTTAGCCTTTGGCTTACAGTTCTAGTTTTACAATCCCATTCCTTTTCACATCTGATTGGGGAACTAAATGCTGGCTGCCTTGGTGAAAGGCAAGTGTGTTATCCACTGCACCATCTGACCACAAAGGAGGAGCTGCGCTTACAGTTTCTAGTACAGAAGTTGAAAGTTTCATAGCTCCAGGAAAATGGCTCAATTGCAAATTCCTTTCTTCATGCACACCTACCTGTGATATAGTATCTCAGGGCCAAGTAACAAACAAATCAAAAAGGAGGAGTTGTGCTTACTAGGTTTCTGGTGCAGAAATTGAAAGTTTCAAGGACCATAACTTCAGGAGAAATAGTTGAATCACAATTTCCTTTCTTCAAGTCTACTTGGGGAATCAAACCCTAGCTGTCATGGTGAAAGGTGAATTTAAATTTGAAAATATTATAAACTTTGTTGATATTAAAATGGCTACCAGCAGATATGTACTCCTCGAAATTGATGGAGAGAGATTTCATCTGATGTAATCTTGTGGTTGTAGAGTACCTCGAGTGTGGGCCCCGGTTGTGAAGGTTCAATATCTTTATAGTGAGATTCTCGACCAGTGGCTCAAGATACATACCACAAACCGTGTTATGAACCAGATCACACGACTCATGGGACTCGATTACTACATTCTGGAGGTAAGTCACTGATGTCTAACAACTGCTGCTAGGACACACACAATAAATCATTTATGTACTATATGCTCTTATGAACATGGAGGATAATGACTTTAAAAGGGCGATTTAGTCAAATGACACCCATAAAATCAATACGATATGGGGGTCTTAGTGTGGGAGGAAACTGGAGTGTGCTAGCCACTGCTCCAACTGACCACCCTTGGCATATGTAATATACTCTGTCATTTGTAACTGCCATATTCTTTATTATATGAGTACCACTTGGGATGGTGGAGTGTTGAGGAATATGTCCTACTGTATTCAGAATAAATGCTGTCTGAAGGTTGGGGACTATAGACGTATCAACATAACTTTTTTCACATATCGCCCTTTGCGAAGCGACGGTGGCACCCGGAGTAAAGCAACTTCCGGTTTAGTTAGGCGTCTATGGATACAGTAGAAGCGATCGTCGAGTGTTCACCATCTCCAAGATGTAACGCTATCTGAAATTAATTTGTGTGTGATATATGATACCTCATTGTAATCATTATATACTTTTTATAACATTTTAAACAATGTTTTCGATATGTTATAATTATTAGGCATATATTTTACAACGTAAACAGCAGGCTGTAAACATGGAGATTGACGATCCTGGTGATATGACTCTTAGAGTTATTTTCCATGTGGAGTGTTGATTCTCTCAAACTTTTTTCTGGAAAAAAAGGGTTAAGTAGGGAAGGTACCAAATGTGAACTGGCTGCTTTTTGTTATGCTGCAAACAAAATGAAACTTCCGATAAAGTTGACCTAGGAGGAGATAGTTCATTAGTTGCAGAACTTTCCAGACGCTACGGACATGGACGTGGTTCTACGTCTCTGGATCATTTTATGTTCGTGTGGCTATATCTATGTAATGGGTTTAAAACATATAAATATTGCTTATTTTATTTGTAGAAATAAACTTTAAAAAAAAAAAATGCTTAAATAACCTTCGTTTTTAGCTCACCTGCCCGAAGTGCAAGTGAGCTTATGCCATGGCCGGGCGTCCGTCAACCTTTCCTAAAAATCGCTAAAATACTTGTATAAATGGTTGGCCTGGCCCCCCTGGGGGCTGAAGAGCGGGGCCTAATAGGAGAAATATAGCAAATTCTTTAAAATCCTTCTTCTTCTGTAAGAATAAAAGGATTTGTTCCATATTTAGTCTGAAACATTCTTGGGTAAAGGAGAACCAATTTTGTATAAACCGTTAGTCTGGCCCCTGAGGGGCCTGAGGGGTGGGGCCCAACAGGGGAAATATAGCAAATCGTTTAAAATCCTTCTTCTTCTGTAGGATCGAAAGGATTTGTTCCATATTTGGTTTGAAGCATCCTTGAGTGAAGGGGAACCAATTTTGAATGAACCGTGGGTCTGGCCCTCTAAGGGCCTGAGGGCGGGGCCCAAAAGGGGAAATATAGCAAATTCTTTAATATCCTTTTTCTTCTGTAGGAATGAAAGGATTTGTTCCATATTTAGTCTGAAGCATTCTTGGGTGAAGGGGAACCAATTTTGTATAACCCGTGGGTCTGGCCCCCTAAAGGCCTGAGGTGGGGCCCAATAAGGGAAACATAGCAAATTTTTTTAAATCCTTTTTCTTCTGTAAGAATGAAAGGATTTGTTCCATATTCGGTCTGAAGCATTCTTGGGTGAAGATGAACCAATTTTGTATAAACCGTGGGTCTGCCCCCATAGGGGCCGGAGAGGCGGGGCTGACAATAGGGGAAATACAGCAAATTCTTTTAAATCCTACTTCTTCTGTAGGAATGAAAGGATTTGTTACATATTTGGTCTGAAGCATTCTTTAGTGAAGAGGAATCAATTTTGTATAAACCTTGGGTCTGGTCCCCCAGGGGCCTGAGGGGTGGGGCTCAATAGGAGAAATACAGCAAATTCTTTAAAATCCTTGCTCTTCTGTAGGAATGAAAGGATTTGTTCCATGTTTTGTCTGAAGCATCCTTGGGTGAAGAGGAACCAATTTTGTATAAACAGTGGGTCTTGCCCTCTAGGGGCCTGAGGGGCAGGGCCAAATATGGGGAACATAGAAAATCTTTAAAATCNAGATACATGTACAGCAACATCTGGCTATTTCATCTTCAATTTTGCTTACATTTCCAGGTGAGCGATACAGGCCCTCTGGGCTTCTTATTAATTCAATGATTTATTTTAAGCTCACCTGGCACGAAGGGCCAACTTAGCTTATGCTGTGGTACAGCGTCCGTAGTCCGGCATCAATATTTTACTTTTGACTTCTTCTTCTTAATAACCAAAAGGCCCATGTTACTGATATTGGGCCTGTAGCATTCTGGGATGAAGGGCTACCAAGTTTGTTCAAATGAATGACCTTGACCCAATTTCAAGGTAACAGGGATCAAATGTCTTAAAATCTTCTAACAACTTCTCCTCAATAACCAAAAGGCCAAGGGTACTGATATTGGACCTGTAGCATGCTGAGGTGAAAGACTGCCAAGTTTGTCCAAATGAATGTCTTTGACCCACTTTCAAGGTCACAGGGGTCAAATGTCTTTAAATCTTCAATCAACTTCTTCTCAATAACCAAAAGGCCCAGGGTACTGATATTGGGCCTGTAGCATGCTGGGAAGAAGGGCTACGAAGTTTGTTCAAATGAATGACCTTGACACACTTTCAAGGTCACAGGGGTCAAATATCATAAAATCTTTGAACGATTTCTTCTCAACAACCAAAATGCCAAGGGTACTGAAATTGGGCCTGTAGCATGTTCAAATGAATGACCTTAGCCACTTTAAAGGTCACAGGGGTCAAATTTCGTAAAATCTTCAAACAACTTCTTATCAATAACCAAAAGGCCCAGGGTACTGAAATCGGGCCTGTAGTATGCTGGGATTAAGTACTACAGAGTTTGTTCAAATGAATGACCTTGAACCTAAAGGTCACAGGGGTCAAATGTCTAAATTCTTCAAAACAACTTCTTCTCAATAACCAAAAAGGCCCAGGGTACTGATATTGGGCCTGTAGCATGCTGGGATGAAGGGCTACAAAGTTTTTTCAAATGAATGACCTTGACACACTTTCAAGGTCACAGGGGTCAAATATGTTAAAAACCTGTAGCACAACTTCTTCTGAATAACCAAAATGCCTAGGATGATGATGATATTTGGCCAGTAGCATGCTGGAATAAAGGACAACCAAGTTTGTCCAAATGAAAAAAACTTCTTCTGAATAACCAAGAGGTATAAGGTGATGATACTTTGCAAGCTCAGATGAAGGGCTACCAAGGTTGTTCAAATGAATGACCTCGACTTATATTCAAAGTCACAAGGGATGAATATGTTAAAAACCTTTAAAAGAACATCTTCTGAATAACCAAGAGGCCAAGGGTGATGATATTTTGCCATTAACATGCTGGGATGAAGGACTACCAAGTGAATGACCTTTGCCCATATTCAAGGTCACAGTGGTCAATATATGTTTATATCTTTAAATGATTTGTTCTGCATAACCAAAAGGTCCAGGGTAATGATATTTTGCCAGAAGCATGCTGGGTTGGAAGACTATCAACTCTGTTCAACCTAATGTCCTTGTTCGACATTCAAGGTCACAGGCTTCATATGTTTAAATCTTTTAATAGGACTAATATTCTGCCTGTAGCTGTATTTTAGTCCACTTTTAAGATTACAAGTGTGAGATTAATACCAGGTGAGCGCCTGTTATTATTAAGTAAACAAAAAAATCTGAATTTTATCACAACAATGCTGTTTTCAATATAAACTTAAATAGTGATATAGTTATCAAATTAGATTCTTTCATTTATAACTGTCGAACTTGGAAAACCATGTGCTATTTATAAATTGGTGCCAAAATGATTAATGCTCCTCATCGTTGTTTTCATCATGGATTACGTAGCATTATTCAGGTTATCAAAACAACATGGCCACCACTTGCAGTCTGCTCACTTACGATCTATCTTACTGTAGCCAAATTTATTTTAAATTTTCTTAAAGTTGTATCAACAGTCTTTTGTTGATAGAAGCTTCTCACAAAGCTTACTTATTTCAAGCATTAGAAATTGATGGCGAAAACAATAAAACAAAAACTGTTTGTATTTCTTATTTTGGTTGTCAGTAACCTATGAAAATCAAAACGTAGATTGAAGCCTTGATAATTAACAGACACCATTAATTATAATTAAACAAATTACACGGTGGCAATTGTGGTCTTTTGTTCACGTTTCACACCTATACGTAGTTCACATCCCCACAGGTAAATCTACCCGCAGGGCAGAGCTCGTTGATAAGGGTGTCGATCGTAGAGCACAATAGAAAGCTAGTCTAATGAGGGGGAGTCTAATTGGAACAGGGAGAAGAGGTTAGGCCTATCAAAATTTGTAAGAACTTGTCAGTTGATGTGTAACAGTCAAAAGCATGCGTAACGGTAAATCGTTGATGCGTAGCGGCTCTAAATTCATCTGTAACGGCTAAAACAGCCTGAGGAGAACACTCTCACTGGGGTCAAATATGTCAAACTCCTTAAACAACTTCTTCTGAAGAACCAAACGGTATAGAATCTTTGAATTTGGCAAGTGGCTTCCTGGGATAGAGCCCAACAAAGTTTGCGAATGAAAATGACTGACTTTCAAGGTCATGGGGTCAAAAATGTAAAACTCTTTACACGACTTCTTCTGATGAACCAACAGGTATAGAATCCTTATCTTTGGCTTGTGGATTCCTGGGATAGAGCCCGACAAAGTTTGCGAATGAAAATGACTTTGACCTGCTTTCAAGGTCACACGGGTCAAAGATGTCAAACGCTTCAAACAACTTCTTCTGAAGAACTAAATGGTATATGACCTTCATATTTGGCTGGTGGCTTACTGGGATAGAGCCCGACAAATTTGAGAATGAAAATTACTTTGACCTCCTTTCAAGGTCACAGCAGTCAAATATGTCAAACACTTCAAACGACTTCTCCTGAAGAACTAAAAGGTATATAATCTTCAAAATTGGCTGGTGGCTTCCTTGGATAGAGCCTGACAAATTTAAGAATGAAAATGACCTTGACCTTCTTTCAAGGTCACAGTGGTCAAATATGCCAAACTCTTTATATGACTTCTGAAGAACTTAAATGTGTAGAACCTTCATATTTGCCTTGTGGCTTCTTGAGATAGAGCCTGACAAAGTTTGAGAATGAAAATGACTTTGACCTTCTTCTGAAAAATTGAAAGGCATAAAATTATAATATTTAAAGAACGATGGCCAAAAAGCATACAATCTTATTATAATATTTCACTGGAAGTTTCAACAGATGGAGCCGTCAAAGTTTACGAGTGACAAATTTATAGTACAGTATAATATTTAATGAGAATATTTGCTATGACTGCTTAAATATTCAGGTGAGCGATACAGGCCCTCTGGGCCTCTTGTTATTTTAAATAACAATTAAGCAAAGCTTCTTTGCTTTTTTCTGTGATTGACTATGCATAAACGGCCCTTTTTAGGGCCACCACCTTCCTCATTAGTGTCTAGAAACTCAGTTTTGAAAACATATGGATAATCTAACATATTGTTAAGTGCAATATATTAATTCACGGAATTAGATTAGATCTAAGTCTGTAATTAATTTAAGTAAAAAAGACTATAAGTTATATATTAATTTAAGTAAAAATTGAAATGTATTTATTCTGGTGCAAATGTTTAAACATAAAGAAATATAATTGTTAATGTAATTGATTATACCATCACAGCAAGTCAGTGAAACAATGTTTATACAGCAATATGATCCCGGATGACTCACAATGTTCAGCTATACGATCAAAGTTCTATGTACATGTACACATGTGACACGCCAAGAGCTTCATATAAGTGTACTCGTAAAATTTGATAACTCGCTTATTTGATCAAATATCGACCTGAAACATTGTATATAGATGTTTTACATTGCAACTTCTATAAGAAAAAATCAATACAATGACTTCAAAAATAAATTTGACATTCGACAGTCTATTCTGATCTACGCAAGATAGAACGTTGCAAGAATGAACAAGTGAGTGTGAAAATTACTGGACTATTGTAAGATATTTTATAATGCTGAAAACTTTTCAAAAACTAAAATTGTAAAATAAATCCCACTAAAGTAGTGCCTAGGTCAGCAACAATATACAATCATGGAATAACAACGTCATTTGTAACCACAGGGACTTGACACGTTCCGAAGACCCAGAATGAAAAAAAAGATCCCATGGTCCGACCTCCAGATCACTTATGATTGACAATTATGAACAGTAATCATGTGCATACTGCAACCGTAAAGAGAAAATTCAACAGCCAGACTCGAATTCAAACCCAGGACCTCCAAACTTGAGACTTAAGCCATAACCATTTGAGCTACCTAGTCACGGGCAAATGAGCAAAGTCAAGTTCCGCTACATTCCTACGATGTCTTTAATTCTAATGACACACAATAGTGTGTACAATTGTACCACATGTTTGGCACCAAAAGTAACAGGAAATAAAAAGTGCAACAGCCAGACCATGATTCGAAACCAGGACCTGGTAAAAGTTACAGCAGCATCTGCTGTCTACAACACAATTTTATCTGTTTATTTGACAGGTATCCCTGGTATAGTGTAATAAATATGCATATACTGCAAATGACTGAAAAAATATGTCTTAAACCGTCTTATCAGTTTTACTGTTCGCTTGGTCATCAATGTTGTTTTTCTTTTAAAAAGACACAAAATCCCCATTATTTGGAACCCCACACCCTTACTCCCCCAGGTCAAGAATGGGCTTGGCATCGACCATTGTCAATGCTACGCTCTACTGCGGATCATCCGTTTACATATTAGACACATGTAGTGGGTCCTGCTGTGTCCCACTGCATAAAGGAAGATACAACTAATGTGCACCTAGCTGTGATGACGTATCTCCTTACAACCAGACAATTTTTAGCTCACCAAGGTGAGATTATGCCATACCTCAGTGTCTGTCGTTCGTTTCCAGGTGAGCAATGCAGGCCCTATATTGATACGTCTATAGATTCCTTGCAATGCCTTTTTCAAAGCATAACCAATTCATGACATAGGTTCTCATTTATTCTTTTCATGATACCAAGCGTTATGAATTTGGCATGTAGCTTTCGGTGATGATTGGCTTTCAGTTTTGTTTGGATAAAAATTTCAAGCTATTTCTCCAAAGAATTACAGCATTAAAATTTGAGAGATACAGGTTTCTTCAGCATGGTATCGGTACCAGAGCGATCTGTAATGAACTTAGTTTCTATTTTATTCTTTGTTAAAGACTCATGAGAGAGACCTGAATTCACAACTTGGCATGACTCTGAAGCGACAGATGTTGATGGCCCTGGCACAACCGGAGAAACTCTACCCAGATCAACCAAACAAACGGCAATTTGTATTGAAGTGCTACGGCAAATACACAATTCCGGTAAGTCTCTCAACGATTCCATCTTTTGTATATCGGAAACTTTTGTCCAGTTAAACTGCATCCATCACCTATAAAATTCACATTTCCCAATTTTAAATTTCACTCCCTTCACGTAATATTCACTCTTAGGATAAATATGCATTCATTACATATAGTGAAAGAGCCCAAGTTATATTGAGGAAAAATATTTCATGGTATATTGAATTTTTATCTAAGTGTTCAAAGTTTCCAGAGCTCAACATGTTGCTGAATAAAGTATTTTCTTGAAGTTTCTTATACTTATAGGGAAGGGCTACCAAGTTTGTTCAAATGAATGATCTTGACCCACTTTCAAGGTCACAGGGGTCAAATATCTTAAAATCTTGAAACAGCTTCTTCTCAATTACCAAAAAGTCCTGAGTACTGATATTGAGCCTGTAGCATGTTGGGATGAAGGGCTACCAAGTTTGTTCAAATGAATGACCTTGACCTACTTTCAAGGTCACAGGGGTCAAATATGTTCAAATCTTCAAACTACGTCTCCTTAATAACCAAAAGGCCTAGGGTACTGATATTGGGCCTGTAGCATGCTGAGATGAAGGGTACAAAGTTTGTTCAAATGACCTTCACCCATATTCAAGGTCACAGGGGGCAAATATGTTAAAAACTTTAAACAACTTCTTCTGAATAACCAAAATGCCCAGAGTGATGATATTTAGTCAGTAGCATTCTAGGATCAAGGGCTACCAAGTTTGTTTAAATGTATGACCTTGAATCATATTCAAAGTCACAAGGAGAAAATATGTTCAAAATATTTAAACAACTTGTTCTGAATAACCAAAAGGCTCAGGATGTTGATATTTAGTCAGTAGCATGCTGGGATCAAGGACTACTATGTTTGTTAAAGTGAATGACTTTGACTTATATTCAAGGTCACAGGGGTCAAATTTGTTTAAAATCTTTAAACAACCTCTTCTGAATAACCATGCGTCCCAGGTTGTTGATACTTTGCAAGTTGCATCCCGAGATGAATGGCTATACAATTTGAAATGTTTTAAAAATAAATAACAGGGTATTTTGAATAAATTTTAATCATAAATACTGATATTTTGCCTGTAGCTTTATTAAGATACCTGACCATAGGTCATGGAAACCTATTGTGATAGTCTTTTGTCCGTCCTCGTGCGTCGTGCGTTGTGAACACAATCACTTTAGTAAATGTTAACCGAGTTTGATGAAACTTAATATGCAGCCATATATTAATAAGATCTCGGACGAGTTCGAAAATGGGAATTATTCGACAGTAACTTACAGAGTAATTGCCCTTTGTAATATTATTATAATTTGACCTTGTGAACACGAGAACTTGAGTAAATGTTAACCGAGTTTGATGAAACTTTGTATGCAGCCATATATCAATAAGATCCCGGAAGAGTTTGAAAATGGGAATTATTCGACAGTAACTGACAGAGTTATTGCCTTTTGTAATAATATTATTATTGGACCTTGTGAACACGAGAACTTGAGTAAATGTTAACCGAGTTTGATGAAACTTTGTATGCAGCCATATATCAATAAGATTCCGGATGAGTTTAAAAACGGGAATTATTCGACAGTAACTTACAGAGTTATTTCCCTTTGTAATAATATTATTATTGGACCTTGTAAACACGATAACTTGAATAAATGTTGACGGAGTTCAATGAAACTTTGTCTGGTAATTATTTTACGGTAACCTGCAGAGTTATTGCCCTTTGTCATTATATTATTATTTGTCCCTGTGATGTTGATTGACATTACACAAGAATAGATGTAAATTCATGTGGTACAACTTTTATTCATTCATGACGCATTTTTGCTACTTACAAGGTGCTATTAAAATTTTGTGCCTTATTTAATAAATCATTGATTTACGCTTTTACTTGTTTCTTTTAACCAAGAACAGAAGACATACAGTTACCAAGTTTGTTCAAAACAGACCCCATGGGTCAAAATTGGAGTCACTCCCATTTATTTCAGTTATAAAGATCTTGTTCACAGGGTCCAATAATAATAGAATTACCAAGGGGAATAAATATGTAATTTATGGTCAAATTGGTCCGGTATTCAAACTCATCCAAGATCTCATTGATACAAAGCTGCAAACAAAGTTTCATCAAAATCGGTTCATATTTACTGAAGATATTGTGTTCACAAGGAAAAATTAATGGACGATGCAGCAAGGTCACTCGGTCCAACGAAAAGTATGAATTGGCCGCTGGATGACAGTCCTAATTTGAATTGGATGTCGGGTGACCGTTAAGGCCCATGGGCCTCTTGTTTTAGATCACTTTTAAGGTTACAAGTGTGAGATTTATACCAGGTGAGCGATGCAGGCCCATTGGGCCTCTTGTTCATGTTTGTAATCTACAATGTTTGACCAGTTTGTCGATATATAATGGTAAATGCTTTGCAAAGAGTGAATAAAATCATAACTGTCTCCATATGGAATGTTTTTGTCATTTTATTGGACTTATTGAACAGAAAGGGGCCCAAATGGGGTGTACTTATAAGATGCATAAAAACTGGAAAAATATGCGGTAAAAGTTCATAAAAATTTGGGGGAATACTTCACAAGTGTGTGGAAAATAAAAAAATAAAAAATTTCACTTCCAATATAAAATGTGTATTACATGGAGTACCTTAAAACAAATTCTTCTTAATCAACAAAAGGTCCAGGGTGATAATATTTAGCTAGTAACATGCTGGCATAAAGAGCTACGAAGTTTATTCAAATGAATGACCTTAACTTATATCCAAGGTCACAGGGGTTAAATATGTTTAAAACGTTTAAACGTCTTCTTCTGAATTACTTAAAGACCTTAGTAAATGATATTTAGCCAGTAGCATGCTGGAATGTTGGGCTACTAAGTTTTTTCAATAGAATGACCTTCGCTAATTATTTATGTCATAGGGATGTTAACTTTAAATGGTATCTGAATAACCTGGGTCACAGATGTTGATATCTTTGAACGACCTCTTCGAATTCTGAATAAGCGAGAGGTCCAGGGTGATGATACTTGGCCTTAGCATGCTTTGATGAAGGGCTACCAAGTTTATTCAAATGAACTTCATTCTCCCATATTCAAGGTCACAGGGGTTTAATTGTCTTAAAAAACTTGAAACGACTTCTCCTGAATAACTAAAAGGTCCAGGTTGATGATATTTGGCTAGTAACATGCTGACATGAAGGGCATCGCCTTCCAAGTTTGTTAAAATAAATGACCTTCACCCATGTAACTGTTCTAGGTCAAATATGTCAAAAACTTGAACAACTTTTCATAAATACTTAGCAAGTAGCATGCTGGGATGAAAGGTTTAAAAAGTCTGTTCTGAAGAATGACCTTGAATCATATTCAAGGTCATAGGGGTCAAATACCAGGTATATTAAAAACGTAAACATGTCTTCCTCTGATTAACCAAAGGGTGATGGTATGTGTTCAGTAGCATGCTCAAATGAAGAGCTATCAAGTTTGTTCATGTGGATGACCTTGACACACTTTCAAGTCACAGGAGTCAGTTGTGTATAAATCTTTAAAAGTCTACTTCTCAATAAACAAAAGGTCTAGGTTGGTGATATTTGGCAAGTTGCATTTAAAGTCAAATGTGTTTTAAATCTTTTAACAGGTTCTTTTGAATGACTTTTAAAGACACTGATATTTTGCCTGTATCTTTATTTTAGTTCACTTTAATGTTATAAGTGAGTACAAACTCATTCTTAAAGTTTACAACATGCTTAACCCGGACAAATGATTAAAAAAATCTTGACAGCAATATGAATTTGGATTTAAATGAAAGTGTTCTTGCATATAGTCCATTTAGGGATAAATAACCATGCATGATCTGGAGATAATTTGCTGGACAGTGACATAAATAGAACCTGTATAAATTTCTTTGTTTGTTACATTGGACATGTTATTTTTAGTTTCCCTTGATTTTCCTATGAGTTGTAGGAGTTATTTCCCTTGTCCCATTTGATTCCTATAATGATATTCGATGGACCCTACAATAGACATGATGTGTGACACTTCATTTCTGTTAAGGTTAGGCCAAGTGTGGTCATGATCAGGTAGTGTTGAAAATAAAATTCTTACTTTAAGTTTTTAGCTTTACATCTAATGCAGCCAATTCACTAAGAGAACCTTGCTATAAAAATGTTTGCTGTATATATCGTTCAGAATACTTTTTATATATATATAGTGTTGCCCATGTCCGTCCCGTCCCATCCATTCCATGAGTGGGGGCATTTACGTCTTACATACATTTTCTGGTTATGCTTAATTTTCATCTTTCCTATCATGATCTCTGGTAGTTGATCTTCACAAATTTAGTACGATATTTCATTTCCCCCTTCATAATTTTATACCACAAATTGTTCGTTGCAGTTATTCTAATGATAACTTGTGTCTGATAGTTTTGGAAATTTAAAATGATTACAGATTCCTCTGAAAGAGACAATTTTTCATAGGAGTAGTTATTTAGGATGAATACACTGAGCCATTGAAATTTAACAGATAATGGACATTTTCCTAAAAGGTTTGCAAAATATCATTGTGCTAAGAATCTATTTTTTTCCTTTTATTTATATAGTATCATTATTGTAGTACCTTAAAGTCAATTTTATATGTTCCCATGTGGTCTGCAACAACAGTTCAATTTAAGATTATTTTCAGTTTTCAAGTCAAGAGGAATGTCTTGTCCTGAAAATGACAATTAAATGTCCCTGTGACCTATTACTTAACCGTTGACCTTCACTTTTGAAAAGTTTGTCCGGGCATATCTTCTTTACTATTTCACCTGGAGTTACCAGTTTTGGGGTAAAAGGACATCTTGGGATGGCAAGAATTAGGTCACTGTGATCTATGACTTGACATTTGAAAAATGTTTGTCCAGGGCATATCTTCTATACTATTTTACATGGAGTAACCAGATTTGGTGTACATTGTGCAAGGACATATTGGGATGGCGGAGTACAAGAAGTAGGTCATTATGACCTCACTGTTACCTATGCTTCCTGTTTGTTAAATATAGAAATCATTACCGATTGGGGACTATGGATTGCCTTCCAATACTTTTACTTGTTCAGTCTTGATGAAAATGTTCACTATTGTCATATTTCAAAGGCTGTGCTTTCATTTCCCAGTTAATTAGTAGTTGATCTTCATAGTAGATTTGTTATTTTTCCCTCTCTGCATTTCCAGTTAAAATGATTAGACACAGCAATTATGTGTTTTTGACTGATGTGGCCTTTGACTGACGACAGTAGTTATAATTAGCCCTTTGAAATATCAGACAAGGAATTTTGTAAAAATGTGAACTGCCAGATGCTTTGTTTAAATTGTCCTTCCATTGATGAAATATGAAATAGAGGTTTAATATTGATGTTTTCTAGTAAGGTACTTCTCTGACAGCCAATTTTCTTCTTTTTGTTTTTTGATTTAAAACTTGAAACACTATAGGAATGATTTGTTTTAGGAGTACAAGAGTTTTGAAATTTTTATTTGCATTAAACAGGTATTTTTCAAAAGAATGAAAAGGATGCATTCCTGTAATACTTTAAACTTTGTATGTAAGTAAAGAAAACAATGAGAGGTATGTCATATTCATTTTTGTTTTAATATATACACAATAGCACTGTCAATATATCTTGACTTTCAAACAAATAAAATAAATTAGGATTTCATTTCTTTTTACAAAATGTACACATATAAATGGAGTTTATCCATTTCTCTCACACACATACACAAATTCCTGAGTCATATCTCGAAAGAAAGTTGGAAAGAAAGTTAAGGAAAGAGACAGAAACAGAATTCAACCACGACTTATGGCATAATGAAAATCAGAATATTGCACTTGAACTAATGGTGATAAAAAGTGTCTTGAAAGCTTACTTTGTGCTAAGGTATCAATTTAACTGTCAGTATGAGGCACTAATCAAACAGAGATTTTAAAATCACGACCATTTGAAAATCTCAACTCTGGGGTACACAGCAACTTTCACCATCACTAAATAATGTTCACTGTCACAGATGAGTTCCCTTTCACTGATTAGTTCACTTATGTGTCTATAGTTCACTTTGATTGTCATAGTGTTTTGTGTGTCAGTGGGTTCACAGGTTGGCAAGGGTCTGGATGCGGGTAAGTCCTTGTCTGTCCTTCCTGTTGAAGCTAGCACTGAACCTCTTGAATTTCTTGATGACAGCCCTCTTGTTGACAATCTGAACATCAGCTGAGTTGGTGGTGTCAGTTGTGAAAAGCTTCCTCTTGGAGAGAGGGTCACTCTGTACCGAAGATGGGCATACAGGGCTTGGTGTGCTGGTCAACATTCTCTGGGCCTTGCTACGCTTGAACCTGAAGAGCTTCTTGAGAGGCTGGTTGAACCTGGGTACCTTGAAGAGTCCACTGTCAGTCTGAGTGTTGGAGGGAACAGATGGCACAGAAGAAAGAGGAGCAACAGGCTGGGCACGAGAATCAGACTTGTCACTAGTGGTGGATCTACTGGTCTTGCTGTGGTCAGTGACATCAGGCGTGTTGCAGGGTACGAAAATCCCAGAGCTGCAGACACTGGTGGGGCTGTCGGTGAGGATTGAGTCGACAAGGGCATCAGTGTTGGGATGGCTAGCACTACACTGGTTGTCACTTACTGGGCTGGCGCTGCTGGAGCTGGACTTGCCGGGAAGCTCAAGACGTTCCCCAAGAGGGGAGGTGTTGTCAGCACTGTGGTCAGGAGATGTTGGCACACTGTGGAAATCGTCATTGTTGGCAGTGTCAACGCTGATGATGTCGGGCATTGAGGAACAGCGGGCTTCCATGGAGCTTCCGGAGGACTTGTTTGGGAGCAGCTGGATCCTAGTACTTGTCCTTGGCAAACTGTTGGACTTGAAAGGGATATCATCGTCGTCATACATGGACTCAGAACCGAGGTAGGCATCCCTGTAGCTGGCAGACGGTTCAATCACAGACAAAGCATCAATAGGAAGAGTACAAGAGTTGGATGGGATGGCCTTTAAGTTGTCTCGCTTGGATGATCGACGAGAGCTGGAGCGACTGCTGCTGCTGCTGCTCGAGAGGACTCTCTTAGGAGGAAGAGGAGGCTTGGCAGTTATCTTCTGGTGCTGGTTGAGGTTCCTGAAGTAGGATTCCTCAAGGGCAAGATCTTCATCACAGCCGTTGTCATGAATGGACCAGGTGTAGATGGACTGAAGGTCATCCTCGCTGCTGCAGGGTGTGTCAGGGTCGTCGATCATGGTAGAGGAAGCTCGGGGAATGGAGCTACTACGATGCTTGCTGCTGCCACTGCTGGAAGAGGAGGGTGAGAGATCCTCAATCATCGTGGAGGAGGCACAGGGTATGGAGATATACTTGTTGGAGCTACCTTTGGATGAAGAGGTGCGGTTCTTCCTTGAAGAATGACGACGACGAGGACGACCAGAGGATGGGGTGGAGCTAGCACTACCAGAGGTGGTGGTGGAATAAGTGGAAGGAGGCAAACAGGCACCAATGATGGGTCCCAAACGGACGGCGGGTACAGAAGTGTTGTCCTCACATCCCTCAACTTCACGTGTGAAGAGCTCCTCAGTGGCCGCACTGGTCAGGTTGGTGCAGACAGGTCCTGAAGACAGGGACATGGTCATGTTGTCAATGCGTCGCTGACGGTCAATGGTGAAGTCCCCGTAGTACTGCATGCGGGACATTCGCTCCTGCTCTAGGTCAAGACACTCTGGTACGCACTGGTTGTCATCAGATGAGGTGTCGGGTGACTTGGGGTAGCCGTCGGAGGTATTGGCTCCTACGCTGCCATTGCTGATGTCAGAAGAGGATGATCCAGTGACGTTAGGAATGTTGGGATTAGACACGATATCGTTCTTTGGTAAGGACATGTAGTTGGAGTTGGAGTCAACAATGAGTGTCATGGCAGAGTCCTCATAAATACTGTCAGAGCTGGTGGAACAGAGGGAGGCCTTCATCATCTCCTGGAGCAGAAAGTCTTCATCGGAGGACAAGGCAGATACCTGAGTCAGGGCAGAACTCCTCATGAAGGTCGGAGTTGGGGGCAGACTACCAGAAGACTGGTTCACAATGGAGTAATCCTGGGGTTCAATGCCGCATGATGTCAGAATGTTCTTGAACTTGGAGGTGATCTCAACGATCTCGGATTTCAGGTCGGTCTCCTGTCTTTTAATGCTCAGCTGTAAATGAAAAGGGGATGTTTAGTTTTTTGTTTATTTTCATTTTTAACATTATTAAATTAAAATATTTTCAATGACATCTTTTATGTTTTTTGGAAAATTATTTTCTTAAACCTGACAGTTATAATGCTACAAAACAAATGAAAACACTACCACTTCAAATTCAGATACATTCTCATTTTTCATTTTCATTATTTATTTTTTTATTTCAGACAAATTTGTCAGTCCAAATTCAATTTTTGAATTTATTAACAACCGTATTAGAGTACATTATTAAATCGTTTTACTGTTAAAAAATTGGATTATTATAAAGATGTTCTGTTGTTTCTGATATTAAGGGTGATATTAACTGGTCATATAAATGTAGACAAGCTGGAAGTATTCTATTAAACAGTAATTTCTGCTAGAAAGAAATTGATACTTTAATTGAAATAAAGGACAACTTATGACAGAAATGTATAGTCACACATGATATATCCATTATAAATTAAAGAATATTTTACTTATGTGAATTTATTTTACAAAAATCTGTATGAATGAAGAAATGGGTTTTTCACTTTTCTGGAGAAATACTTTCAAGATGAAGTACTCATTTCAAGATGAAGTACTCATTACATAAAAAACTAAGTTATTAATTAAATTCAAGGCTGATTGAAACAGATTTTCGATCAAAATTTCTTAAATTAGTGGTTGATGGGAAAATTTAAACAACATGAAATATCATTGAAAAAAAAACAGATAAAAAAAAAAAATTATAAAAAATTGTAGTGCTAAGATTGAATGACTGTATCAAACTTTTTTTTATATATGAGGAGATTATTTCAAATAGAATAAATCTTAATGATATACTCTAAAGTATTTAAAATAAAACAATATTTATATTCACATGAATACTTAACTCTTACTGATTAAATAACTTGTAGGGACCCAGTAGTATGAAATACACAATACAGGTAAATACCAATGTAAAAGGAATATGATATAAAACATCATAAAAACTATACAAGACTGTATTAAAGGTACAAAACACAAATACAGAGCTACTCATGTATTAAAGGGACAAAACACAAATACAGAGCTACTCAATTAATGGAATATAATTAACTGATCATTTGCAAAAATCTGACAATATTTTTTGAAAGATTTCTTTTTAAAAGAACACCAATCTTATATTCAATTTTCAGACCCTCTGTTTACAAATGTTTACCTCATTAATTACCTAACATGACATGGAAGTTACATCAAAATCCATGAGCAAGATTTTCACAAAATAATCATTGATATTTTGTTGATGCAGACAGATTTATTTTATCTGAATATATTAACTGACAAATGACATGTGTAATTAATATATGTTGTGATGTCATCTTCTTCAATATTTACAGCAATAAAAAGAGATCTTCTAAAAAAATTATCATTCTGAGCACATTTTGTTACAATTACTTCATCTAAGAACCAATCATCATTTTTCTTTCTTTTTTGGTGAGTAAAAGTATGTGTCACTGAACAGGTGTGATAAAAGTATGTAAATGGAGGACCTTTTAAACTAAAAGCTCAGAGATGATAAACTAATTAGATTAGACCTATATAAGAAATGGATGTTGACACCTACCATATCTGCCTGAAGCATCATGTACATCTCGTCAGTCTCAAGGTGCTCGGAAATATCTGATTCCATGCCAGTTTCCATCCAGTCTGTAAAAAAAATAAAGAATTATTAGTTATGATTGTAATAATAAACAAATTATCAGTTAAATCTACTGAATAAATATTATTTCTGAAAAAGAATATGTTTTATAATTTTGGGAATTTCAACAAATTACGAAATTTGAGTTGGAGACAGGGAGGAGATCTCGACTTACCACAGAAACTGTCAAGTAAAGTTGAAGTAAGAAAATGCACAGGAGAAGGTGAACCCAGCTCAGGTGGAGCCATAATAATTGAAAAAGACTCAAAAAGTTTTTAAGATTAATCTCCTTGAAAAAGCACTGTTTGTATCACACAACACTGTAAATCCCAGCAAACCTCTGTTTGTATCACATTAATCCAACTACCTCTCTATCCAAATATGAAATGACATAAAGCTTTTAGTTTAGGTTGTGGACAGAACGGACTTGGGCCAGTGGTCATTGTGTTGATGACCAGGTAAACATGGTGGTCAATCAGCCTGGATCATCGTTGTATGGACTCCTATCGCTTTCCATTGTTTTTTAATTCCTGTACAAATTGCCCTTCAACAGTTGTTCAGGGGGTTGAATAGTCCATGGTGGTTATATTGTGTTAGGGTGTTTTGGTAGCCATTAAGTCCCCCTCCTATAGAAAACACTATCCACACCCCAAACAACAACACACATGGCATTGTGTGCATTATAATTAAAATTAGCCCTAACATAGGAAGTTTTTACAATAGTGCAACTCCATCCCTTTTATGTATAGGGACCTCCCTCATTTCCTGTACAAAGTCCCAAAGCCTGTAAGAGGGGACTAATTTTACGCCCGGTTAGATTTGGTCCCTCTGCCCTCTACACTTAGGGAATGATACCTATTATCCTACAATAATGCTATCTGTTAAATAATTATAAGGTAACATCTTTTTACCTGTGAATTAATTAACTGATCTACAGGTAACCTGCTACCTGCCTTTGATCCTCAGTAGGGGACTGATAATCACTACAAACTTAACATGCTGTAATACTACAAACTTTTGTTGTGATTCTCACAGACAGCAGATGGGTCTGCTATTGTTAAACCAGAAATTTCTGTTTGATTACACCTGACTTGATAACAAACATGTTTTTACTTATGCGATACAGCATATGGTCAGTGTGAATCTTGACCATTCATCTAAGGCTTAGTGGAAGTCCCATCCACCAGATTAAATTTCACAGGTGGATGGAGTCAAATAAAATCATCAGATGGTCACAAACGAAAGTACAGATAGTTAAAGTTAAGCTTATTTTGTCATCAGATTACATTGTTTCCTAAATATAAATTCTTACCCAGAAATAATTGTAAGCCTCCTACTGCCTTTAAAGACATTGCTAGATGTTTTCTGCAACACCCACCCCAAACCTCTTCAAGACAGTTCTCACTACTGAACTAGAAAGTAATGTTTTAGCCTTTTTATGGAAATAAGGAAAAGACAATTATCGGAAGAATAAAATTCTCACCTGTAATCAGATGTGTTTGGCAGGTGAATGTTGACAGACTGACAGTGCGAGTGATCATCCTAAACTGACCAGTGACTAGTAGGGAAGTGTTGGTCAGTACAGGTGATAATAAACAATGGGGGTTAATGAGTAGGGGCTGCTTTGTTTAGAACAAAGGTAAATTTGTTGAGTTTGCCTATCTATTGATGTTGGTTATTGCCCCAGGGGGTCACAGGTAAATGTTGGTGAAGCTGGCTATTACCTACAGGTGGGCTTGGGTGGATGGACAGGTACACAATACAGGTTGTTTAGAAGCTGACTACTGACCAAAGTGGTTTCAGGTAAATAAACAGGTAATACACAGTAAGCTAAGAATGATGAAGAAGCCTGCTACTGACCACAGGGGGTCTCAGGTAAATAACACTATTGCATAACAAACTACACATAAGCCTACTTGTAACAAAGACAGCCACAGCAGGTGAAAAAAGCATCATTGGAATGGAGTATGCCAGATAGATAACCCTTACCTTTGAAGAGTGTTATGATAAAAACGTAAATACTTTGATCTGATAAAAATACTTAAAGCTAAAACAACTAAACATAAACTTTTTTTTATCAATTTTTATATATTTAAATAAAAAATGCTCATTAAAAACAAAAATGTTTTGTTAAGCAGCTGAAAAATCTTCATAATCAAATAAAAATATTTAAATATGTTAAAAACTATATGATAATATAAACCAAAAAAATAAACCTATTTTTTTCAATAATGGGTAAGTTATATTAACCTGTTACTTATTATTTAAATAGACAAAACTAATTAAACCTAATGTAAATTTGTTTACTTTGACAATAAAAGTCTATTTACAAAACAATAAATTTGGTTATTAAGGGAAGTATTTACCTTGACTGGTGGGCTGATCATTGAGAATTTTGTCAGATGTGATCTGCATGTTGGCATATGCAACTGAAGACTTATCACGAGGTATATTCCCAGGAGTTGTAATGGCAGAATTAAGAACAAGATTCAGGTTGTAAGATGATGCTATGTTATCTCTATGACAAGTTTGATGATAAGTGATCAACTGTCTGAATTATATACTGAGTGTGGTCAGTACTGACCTCTACCTAAACTGACCACTTGAGTACTGCAGCTTCTGACAGTACTCCTCTACCTGTGTGTCACTGCTGCCCACTATCCAAACACATTGATGGCCAGCTTGGATTACCTCCCCTACCATTTATTAATCTTATCTGCCTAGGTGTGAATATTAAACAAACATATTTAGCTTACCTTTGTTTAGCCATCAGCTATGTTGTAGGATTACTGAGTTTAGCAGATAAGCTAAGCAGGAATTAAGTGTTTTAAAAACACATAATAATGACAGTCCCTCACATTAAACTTTAGTAATAGCACCTCACACTAATAGGTACTCTAGGAGTTATCTTAACATTCAACTTCAACTCACAATCTCAACAAGGCACAGAAACCTGCATCATCTTCCCTTTAATGTTTTGAGTTCGGCACTTAATGGGATTACTATTCTGTGTCTGTGAAAAATGGGATCCAAATAAGGAAAGTGATGTTTGTGATATACTATCTGACTTAGTAAGTAGTGTGCATATGTAATGTATCCTTTGAGATATCAGAACTTAGTGGACCCTTGGGAATGTTTAGCATACAACACCCTGACCATCAGATTCATTGCAGTAAGTGTCAGAATGGTAAAGTGATAGGCTGCTGGCTTGTAACTTATTAGCAACAAATTCCTATACAGATTAGCATTGGTTTAGGGTTTCTGACTTTAATAATGATGAACAAACACAAACACGCTCTGGATTGTTTTCACTAACCTTATAAAGGTATCTAGGGCCTTATTAAATTGCAATAAAGTTCAGGGCACTATGACAAAAATGTTTTCAAACTTTGCAAGGGTAGTACTTAAATGTAGAATTAGGGTTAAGTGTGTTGTATTAGCATGTCTAGCTGAGGGTTTTATGGATTAAAGTCTCTAGACAGTTGGATCACTCCCAACCAGACTGGACACTAGCCATTTATCTTTTATGCAGTCATAAAAATCCTACAAAGAGATGACCACCCTGACCACAGATGTCCAGCTAATCACAGGTAGCCAACAGCTGGACCTTTGATTAAACTTGTTTCAAATAATGTCACCTGCAATTTGTAATTTTCCTGAATGTCCATTGACAAAATAATTTTATTGCTATCAAAGAAGTCAGTGATTGACAAACATTCCCTTACAGTCTGTACACACACGTGTCTGGCTTCACAATAAGGTTTATGGCTATGTTATTTAGGTATTTGGGGGTATATAAGTAAAGTACCTGACAAAAGTACTGATAATATACACTAGTATATAATGCTTTGTTATAGGAAAATAAAAATGGAATACAAGTTCACATGACAAATAAGATCAGATATATTTGTATTCAGTGCTTTGTTATAGGAAACTGAAAACAACTTAACATTTACATGGGAAAATGAAAGGAGAACTTACCAATTGGCATTGGGTACTTCATAGTTAATGGTAGGGAGATGGAGAACTCTATAGTAATATGTAAGACACTATGGTCAGTGAGTGAATGATGAAGTCAACTATCATCCCTATATTTATATGCTCTGAAGATAATTAGTTCAAGTACATCTTGAAGCTTGAATATCATTGGTCCTCTCATAAAATTTGGTGTTAATTACTTTCTGATTTTCAATGTGTTAAAATTGATGTTGGAATGTGTTAAAATTGATGTTCCAAATATTGCTTCAGGTAAAAATCTCATTAAGGCATAGGTGTAGTCATCTCCAATAAGGACATGTCCTTTCACACCTGGAGTATTATTTTGACCATTGTCAAGTAGATAATTACCTGAGATTATCACCTGGCCAAAGAGTCATGCAATTGTTTTCACCTTATAGAAAACTTAATAACTTCCTTTATCAGTTAATTGATCAAATTAATTACAACTAATGAAAATACATCTGTAATATTTTGGTTAATGTATTTTTTCTATTGCCATCGATTTTGACTAATGAACTGAAGTCATTCAGATAATTACAAAACAATATTGATCACTTGAAATATTGATCACTTGGAATATTGATCACTTGGAATATTGATCAGACTTAGGCAAGGAGTTATGACACAGGAGTCATGATATCAAAATTGTTTAAGGTATGTTGTCTAATATATTTATTGTGTTGCATTATAAACAGTTTTATTAAACAACTTTTGACATTTAAATGTTGATGGTATTGTTGATAATAATTCTAATGATCCTATAGTATATGAAAATAACAGTAAGCTTTATCATAAAATCAGTTTGTGATATTGAATACTTTAAAAGTATTTAAGATACAAAATGTCAAAGGGAGTTACAAATTTCAGTTCTAACATTTGAAGCTTTCTTTTCAGAAAGGTTAAATTCTAATTAATAAGAAACTGTGAAATAAAAAAGTGTTTTTTTTATTGATTGAATCTTGAGTTTATACTTAGGACTGACAAATTTGTAAAATATAATTTTCATGAA